TTTCCCTGGTGGACCTGGAAGAATACCCAGAGTGTTAGTCTCCAGGGACACCAACTATTCTGAGCCCATTGCAGGTATGTCCTGGAGCCCAGGGCTCTGCTCCAAGGACCTTCTCAAATTCAGATAGTAATAACAAAACATGACACAACATCTCCTAATTCAAACAGATAGCGTGGCTTTGATGCTCATATCCCAGGCTGGATTTTCCAGTATTACCTGTCTGGACCCCATTGTTGCAATTTCTGGTGCCTGATCATCTGTAGGCTTTGAATGAAGAGCACCCAATACCGGGTCTTAGCTGGGTGCAACAGTTGTGCCACACAGGGAATGGGATGGATTGTCTGTGGAGAGGATTTCTTACCTCTGTCCAGTCTAGTGTTTTCCCTCCTTGTGTGACAGAGATGCTCAGGTCCACTGGTGCATCAGTGCCAATGCTGGCACTAGGGCAGCATCTTGCACCTTACCCATCCTGTGAAACTCTTACTCAAACAACTGCAGCAAAGCCAAGAGGACTGCCAGAGGGCATGCTTTGTATTAGCGCTAAAGGCTGCATTAGTGGGCAAATGCACTGTAGCAGGGGCTTTCACTTCCCTTTGTGGCTGCCCCATGCCACCTGCCTAAGCATTGGGGGTCTAGTCTAGAGCCTGCTGAGAACCTTGGTTTCCTTTCCTGCCCAGCAGCATTGTGACCTGTGCTCAGCTGTCTTTTGTCTTGATGACCCATCAGTAGATACATCCCTCTCCACAGTTGTCACCACTGCTTTGGATGCCCAGGGTCAAGGCAGCAGCTTCAGTTGAATGCACCAGAACAAGCGACAAGTGACAGTGTCAGAACAATTGGGCATTGTGGAGTGGGTGGTGGTGAGTTCTTCAGGGGAGAAAGGCAGCAGGAAAGGCCTGGAGGGCAGGTCTTACTTGAGCTGTGGTGGCTGGCACAGAGTCTGGGCCTCCTGCAGTCCTCTGCTTTTCATCCTGCTTTAAGATAAGAAACAGCCCAGAGTTGATCACTCACCTGGTTGGATCAGGGGAGGAAGGTGGATATGAGATGGAACAATAGGGAAGATGTGACAGTCAGTGGTGAGAACATTGCTGCTGGGGTACTCTCAGCCTGGGGTACTGCCAGCCCATGCTCACAGCAGGGGCATAGCCTAGAGGAGGACACAAACCTATGCACTCTCTGTAGGTGAGGGATGTCTTTGTAAACATCCTCCTCTAGTCTCCTTACATCTCTGTACCAACAGGCTTGAGAGTTCATTGCTTTCATCCATCTGCACTCACTGGGTTGTGAATTATTTAATCGGCCACCTTGCACGCACACATCACTCTCCTTTTCATCATGCCCTAGTGGCACCTTTGCTGCTTCCACTGTGAAGCAAGGCAGGTTTGCCAGCCAGGTTAACTAAGGATCCATTTGACTGCCTCAGAGATCAGAACATGAGGCGTGAGTAAGCAGAGTTCAGGACCCAGCATTCAGTGCAGCCCTCCCAGGTGCAGGCTCCACTGAAGTCCATGGAACAGTAGTGCAGTAGCTAGCACCAGGGCAACATTTTCTCCATGAAGTCTGACACCTGTTGCACACTGGAGTCTGGCGCTACTGGAGAGGCCACATTAGCACAGACTCCTCGTACAAGGGCCCTGCAACCCTGGTTTTACACTAGTGCACACTGCACTGTGGGGTTGCATTTGCGTGGCTACCTCTGGTGCCTAAACACCCTGTGGTAAACCAGGCTGGGCTCAGAGAGATTCTTATGCCAGGGTTCCCTGACTGATCATGGAGGGGCAGATGGTTTGGAAACATCAGCAAGTCCTCACCTGATGATCTTCTATAGAAACAGAAGGGTCATCGCTAGCATAAAGGGACTCAGAATCTTCAAGCTGCTCGAAAAGAGAAATGCAGACAGGGACATGTTAGGGATAAGTCTAGCTCTGTGCTTTGTTATACATGACTCCCTTCAGGGAAATTTGACCACATTTTCTAGCTAAGTCAGATTGGAACCTGATAATGTTGAACAAGCCAACATTTCCTTGTGGAGATTTTACCTGGCAAGGTGGAGAAGCTTTCCAAGCAGCTCTCCAAGCCTATCAAGATGCTCTACAGAGGTTTGCATCCTTGTTGCCTCTTTCTGTCATCTCACCTCACTTTCATGCTGAACAATCATTGTAAGCATGTGTATTTAAAGAAAACAGGTAATTAAGCTGTGTTGATACTGCAACATGACATACTGGTACTCTGGAAACTGCAAGAGATCCCTTAGTTCTCTTTTTTGTTGCTGACTGGCTGTTTCATGGTGCACCTCATTCCCCCATCTCTGTGCCTTGTTTTTTTCTCTCTGGGATGAGTAAGTAATTTTTTAATTCTACCTCACTGGGGTTTTCAGAGCCTGACTCCCTGTTAACTGCATACTTGCTATCCTCATAAGAAAAACTCTATAAAAACACCAGAAATGTATTTATTGTTGTCAATAGTGGAATCCTGGTATTGGGACCTGGCCCTTCTGGATCATATAGCACAGTACCAGGAGCTTGCTCCATCCTTTAGATGTTCGGATGAACATGCTGTTGCTCTCTTTGATGTACACCAGGCTTCCTTCAGGAATGGATGAGCTGGATTTGAACATCAGCTCTTTTGACTTGAAAATCCATGTGTGATGCTGAGTGAAGAAGAAGAGACTTAATAGGTTGAAAACCAATCAATGAAAACACCATTGGTGGTGGTCCCCTGTCTTAATACCCTAGCTCTTTCCTGCCCTCATGCAGATAATCTATTGCTTCTAGTACCTGGATGGTAATTTATATCTATGCAGCTGTCCAAGCATTTCATAATTACTGCTCATGGGATGGAGTCATAGGCAATACGTAAGTGCTGCCAGTGGGGAGGAGGGAGGTATAACTCTGTGCCATCACCACTGTTACCCTTGCTGCTGCCCGGTGTTGCGTCCAGCTGGGCTGCAGCCCCATGCCCTACCACTGGCAAAGAAATTGCACTGCCATCACCATCCCCACTTCTGCAGCCCTGTGCCCCATGCTGCGCTTTTGGCGCAGACATCTGCGGGGGGGCGGGGGGGAGGCACGTTCCCCTCCATGCCTCCCCAGTACATCACCAATGGATGGGGTCCTTTGTTTAGGACCAGTATTGTCTCCTCCCCAGTGTGGACAGGAAAACACAAACGTTTTACTTCTATCAGTTCAGCCAGCGCTAATTCTACCCCACAGTGTAGTGCAAATTACCCAGGAGCTTCAGTTTCCTCCAATAGTGCTAGACGGGGATGTGCCAGCAGCACTGCCACAAGACAGGAAAGAGTTTAGCTGCTGCACAGAGAAGCAATTCCCTGCAGCTGGCATACTTGTGACAGTCCCATTGCTTAGTATAGAAAATATTCTCAACCTTTTTAGATACAAAGCACCCTCCTTAGACTCAAAGCACATCTTGGAAAATGCCAGTTCTTAGCTTTCACTTTTTTTTTGACTATGGAAAAATAATAGAGCAGTTCTGTTGCAAAGACCTCAGAAAACCCTCAAGAGGTCAGAATGTTCATGACATTGTGGATTCCTATTTGAAATATCTGAGCATATCTTGTGAATTAGATATAGATGTTTGCACATTTAACAGCACTAATCTTGTAAGGTACATTAAAAATATCTCATGGCACCCTGGAGTGATGTGGCATCCTTGGTTGAGAATCACTGGTATCCAGGAACCTTTCTCTGGTGGTTCATTTTAGTAGTAGCTAACTTCATAACTCCACACTTCGGCTGCCTCAGTGCATGTAAGGTTAATTATCCCGAAAGAAGGCAAAACTTGCTAGAAATAAACATTTCAGTATTGTAAGAGTATTCCTAGATGTCAACGTACAATACATACCCTGAGACTGGTGCTGGAGTCCTGCAGGTCTTTTTGAGGCAATACAGCATCTGGAGAGCAGACAGAGAAATGTCAGAGCTGCAGTGTACCAGTTGGACCCTACAGAGCAGGTAGCAGTAACCAAACAATAGCGGTCAGCCCAGAGCCAAGAGCAGAGCAGTGTTACCCAGGGCAGAGCTTTACTGGGGTTCTTCTATGCAGGATCTGCCAGAGCTTCCCTAGAGAGGGACCATTCCTGTCTGAGAGCCCTGGCCTGAACAAGTGTCACCTGCAGGGTGAGGAGCTCAGCCAGTGAGCAACTGGGTTAGCACTGGGCGAAAGAACAAAATAAATCCCTCATCTCCACTGGATGGGGAAGCTGTGCTGGATCCCTGTATTAACATACTGGACTGACTAGCAAGACTCACAGCCAGCTATGGACTTCACTTGAGCAAGGCCTGTTTGACTTGAGCAAGTACTGCGACATCGCTTTGGCAGCCACAGGGCAAGACCAGGCTGCTGGTTGTTTGTTTTCCTAAATTCAAAGAAAACCAAAGGCCATACAGAGAAAGATCATGGGAGTACTGAGCAAGGCACTGGGAGAGCTATGATGCAGTACTTCCAGACAGGGAATCAATCAGCCAGGAGATGCTTACTCAGTGTTCTCTACAAGGGAGGTTGAAACCTTGCCAGATCCTTTTTTAGAGAAGCAGAAGTGTTACTGCTTTCTACTGTTAATGAGCAATGACAGAAGGCACAGCCAAGTGATGAGAGCTGCTTTCCTCACAACACTCTTAGTTACTTTAGCCCAGAGAGCCAACAATAAGGACTGGCTATTAATCCCTTCAATCTCTTTGGGGAACAGTGACAACTTCATCCCAGAGGACCCAAGGCCAAGCTTTGGTTCTGCTCAGAGTTGACTTACAGAAGCACAGACCTCCAACTGGACATAGCCAGTCTGCAGCATGATCACAGAAGCATGACACATGCTGTCCAGGTCCCTTTGTTGTCAGGGTCAGGGTGTGAGTAGTGTCAAGGATACTAAGGTGCAGAGACCTGGAGATGATGGGTAAAGAGTGGGAGTGTTCCTGCTTTGAGTCTTTTTTTTTTAAATTATTTTTTCCGTATTCCAAGCCACATCAGCCAAAACAAATTCCAAATCCAAGAGTCAGTTCAGAACCAGAAGTGGCCCTACTACCGGCAAACATCCTCCACCCCCATCTGGGGCTTCAGATGTTTCCAACACCTTTGGCGGGCATCCTATTTGCAGGCCCAAGCCTGGAGGCTTGGGGTTTCGAGTTTTGCTTGCCCTCAGCTATAAGGCCACAGGAGCAAGCTAGGGAGGGTTTCTCCTTTCCATAAAGTGGGCATAAAGCCAAGACCTTCCCACTCCAGCAGCTAAGTGGGAGTTTTACTATACATTACCTTGGCAGGTACTATCCCTGTGCCAGGAGAGCGGTCTTCCTCAGGTGCGACTAGGAAGACCGCCTCAGTGGTCACGGTGTTTTCCTTGCCAGGTAAGCATAGGACTATGCTTGATCTGGGTCCACAAGAGGTAAACCAAGTCATTGCCCACCTGAAACGCCGAGAGAAATGTCTCTACTTGAAACTCTGGTTGTGTCACGAGCCACCTGGGAAAGACAAATGAGTGCTGGATGTGTTAATTGCATCACAACCCTGGCAGAAGGGGTTGGGGGAAGCCATCTCAGATAAAAACTAAATCCAGTCTAGCTGGGATCATGAGGCGGAAACCAGGAGCTGAAGCTTGTTCCACTTACTGGCTATAAAGTTACACAATCCCAGGCCTAAGGCTGGGTATGGGCTATTCTGGCATGGCCCTTCCAGCGAGGGGCAGGACTCACACTGATTGGCAGGCCGCTGTGATTGGGCACAGGGCTGCCTGAAGGAAGAGTTATAAAGCAGTAAGGGGATCCATATAGTCTGTGGGATAAACATCTGTCCAGATGGCTCTGGTTAGAGCAACCTCTCCCATACCTCAGCCAGTTGCATTGCTCTTGATACACAAGGGGCCCCATCTTAGGAGTTACTCACAAAGAACCTGATACCTTTGCCCCTTGGACAGGCATTTACACCAGTGCAAAGGAGAAGCCACATGTGTCCAGTGGTCTTATGTGGCCAACTCTGGCAGCAAATCAGGTTCACGGGGTGACAAAAGGACCGAGCCACTTTATCTTGTCTTGGTCACTCCCACTAGACAATGCAGGCCGGGCTGGAACTAGGGAAGGACCTTACCCCTGAAAGACTGCTGGAACCAGTCTAGCATTGCCTTCTTGCTCCAGGGATCCCAGCCAGGGGCTGAGAGACTGCCCCATGCTAGACCTGGCAGAAGCCTGTGGAGTTCTTTAACATCCCCTTGATCCTTTTCCTGTAGTAAGTGGAGCACTGAGCTCTCATCCCCTAGGAGTGTGTGCCCTTACTGGCTCCCCAGGGAGGGCAGGAACGCTGGCAAGGTGCCCAGGAAGCCTAGGTCTTACCGGCTGTTTGCAGAATGACCTGGTACGGACTGGACAAACCCTCTGAAATCAAAGACAGGCCAGTTTGCACCTGAAGTTCTTGAATGAGCATCATTGCATAAACATGCAAGCCCATAGGCTGGGATCCTTACATTGAAGTACAAGACGCCTGGCGGCCCGGGGGGGCCTGGTGGTCCAGGAGGGCCTGGGTGTCCAGATGGGCCTGGGGGACCCTGAAACACAGATCAGTGCAGAGCATTGGTGGTGGGTCTGTGAGGTCTGTCCCAAAAAAGCACAATGGTGGCAACAAGGCCCTGGCTAAGTTAGACCCTCATGTCCTACCCCTAACACTTGCTCTCTACCTGCTCCTCTCTTGACTCATGCTGCCCCCTTGCACTTGGCAAGGCTTCCCATGCCCTGTTCACTTTACCCTCTCCCTCTGCTTGTTCAGGTTTCTCTTACCTACCCCATTATACCGTCCTCTTGGTTTTCTAATCTCTGATAACCACCTGGCAGGGTCACTCTACTGCTTCAAACAGCATAAATCAATCTCTGAGTCCCTCAGTGATCAAGGGAGGAAAGTCTGGACACAACTTGGGCCATGAGAGCCCCTCCTGGGCTCTGCTGGGGAAATCAAGAGAAAGCTACAGGGGCAGTGAGGACAATAACCAGGCCACAACTCACATGAGAGACGACAGCTTCATAAATTTCTGCTTCTACTTTGCCATTCTGCAGAGGGGAGAGAGAACATTGGAGAAAACTATTACAGATAGACTGGCTGCAGGTCAGGGAGGGAAGGAGCCACTTAACTAGAGGGAACATGTCCCATCCTTCCTTCGATTCTCTTATTCCCTCCAGAGCTGTCTTCCCTGCCTGGTCTGGGAGGTCCCACTTTGCTTTGGGCAGTAAACAAAGTTGCTAGGGGGGTTATTATTCTATGCAGAGGTGCAGGGCAGTGTCCGGCTTGGAGGGATCCAGCCAGGTGAGTGCAGAAGAAAGAGGTTGCTCCCTGTCCTGACAGTGCTCCTATGCCCTTCATCTCATCACCTTGGCAACAGTCCAAGGAACATGCAAGCTATGTAGGGCAAACCTCATGGTACATCAGGGGCACCCAGGAACTAGAACCAGGCATGGGAGGGTAGCTTGGCATGAAACCTTCCTCTCCAGAGCAGCCATGGCATCCCTGGGTGAGCCAGCAGAGAGGGGCGTTAGCACTAGCATCATGCTCCACTCTTTGTATAGGTCCTTCTGCCCTTGTGTGTAAATGCACTCCATTGGGAGACTCAGGGGCTCACTCAGTGCACTAGTCTGTATGTGTGTACACATGCAGGTGCAGCTGGGGCTCAGGGACTCAGTGCACCAACACTTTGGCTCTGGAACTCTTCCTGAGATAACAGATTAAATGAATTTGGCAGGTCTCAATCTGTCACACTGCCTTTGTTCCTGCCAGTACAATACCACAGTGGCAGTAGGTTCTTAGGACAGCCCCAACTTTGGAATGGCAGCTGCAGGCCAAGACACAGGGGCCCTGGCAGAGGTGAGTGATCTCAAGTAATGAATGATGCATCTCAAGATGGAGGCACTGTGGGTAACCTTTCAAGTGGTTGCCTGTACCTTGCCAGGCACCCATTGCCCCAGCACTACTGGGGGTGTTTAAGGTATAAAAAGAAAGGAATAAACAGCTGGTAACCCCCACAGTTCCTGAGCAGGCTGGGGACACTACTGCATTTCCACAGCTACAAACCTGCTCTCCTGGGTCTCCCTTTTCACCCTGCAAGAAAAGACGACAATCTCAGCATATCTCAGGGGACTTCACTCACCTCATCTCTCCAGGAAGGCCTATCTGCCCTGTTAGACTGCTAGGGAAGCTAAAGCACAGAGAGAGAGAGTTGGGAAACATGGACACTCAGGAAAGGTAATATGAATCAACTAAAAGCATGAATGTAAAGGCAAGTAGTTAATCTACATTAAAGCACTACAAGAGCCTTAATTCAGTAACTTCATTCACTTTGGAAGTGAATTAAACTAAATTGAGTTAGGACCACTTTAATTCTGAATAAGTGTCCACATGGAAGTTTAATTTAATTTAGTTAATCCCCTTTGAATTCACACTTGTAGTCAATGAGATAGCTTTCATGAGTGTCCCAGTGTAGAGAACCAAAAGCAACTTGCCTTGGGTTCCACTGCAAGACTGATTTAGAGTTTAAAAAAAAAAAAAAGGACCATCAGTCCTGACCCAAGTTAGGAGTAATTTTTCAATTACAATTTTTTTTCCATAGAAAAATTGGCTTTGTGGTTTGACAAAACTATTCACAAATGTGTGTCAAATTCATCAAATTGTTTTGATCGATAGAAACCTGGATTTTTATTAATTTATCTATTTTACAAAAGTTGAAATATTCCAGTTCAGCATTTTTAAAGGCAGGGTCTTGATTGTTTAAGAATGTGCCATTTCAGTAAGTTAACCCAAATTGAATTACAAACAAACCGATTCATTTGAAATGAAATGAAGCTTTGTATATTGGACCGTAAACATTTATTTTGTTTCTCCAGAAAAAAATTGATTTTTTTTTTCATTTTGAGTAAACCCAAACTGATTCCCCCCCCCCCCCCCCTTTTTTTTTTTTAAATTTTTTTGGGGCTGGTCAGCAAACAGAAAAAAAAACATTTTTTTTGTACAGCTTTCATCCTCACTCCCAGTTTCCAGGGCACAGAAGACTAGAAATACACTCTGTTGTAACTCCCCCACAAGCATCCTATTATCTGTGGCATAGGACAGTGAAAATAAAGGGCTAAAAGTGGAAGACACTTCCCAGTAGTGAAGTCAGTAGAGCCCAAGGGTTTATTGCAGTTATACTACACAGAGCAGAAATACACCTGGGGCAGGGCAGGGAATCATCAAGAGCTGCCCATGATCCGGTGGGTTTTGCACCAGAGATTTGGGGTGTCTGATTGGACTTACAGAAACAGAAACACATGAGTTACATTTGAGCAATGCTCAAGGGATGGCAGGGAAAGTGGAACAGAGGGGAGTCCTCTGGAGGGGTGGGGTAGGGTGCATTGGAAGGTGGCAGGGCTGTTTTTCACACCCTGCAGATGGGCTTTTAGATTTTGCCTCCTGCCTTCCAGGGTCTTGTCTCCTAGGCTTTGGGGCCTCTCAAGCACACTCAATGCCTGTATGCACAAAAACACAGGCTGTGGAGAGACTTAGCAGTGATCTTGCAGGAGTTGCTCTCCCTTTACAGGCAGCACTGACCCCATTGTCTCAGTGCAGCAGGAGGGGATGTGCATTGCATGGAGCAGGTTGGGGGCTTGGTAGGGGTGCTCTCCTCTTGTGGACAGTGCTGACTCTAATGTCCCAGCCTGGTGCTATGGGGTAATTGTGCTGCAGGCGGTGGGTAGGGGAGCAGTGGCGGGGTGGTCTCCCCTGTATGCCAGGACTGACATACTCACCTTGGGACCTGGTGGACCAGTGAATCTGGAGTGCCCTGGATGGTGTGGATCACACTGCAAAGGGAAGAGACGTTTAACTGGGCTATTCCCAACCTCATTGCTACTGCTGATGCCTCTGTTATGGCACTGGGGGTATGACTGCCCCTAGCTGGTGTCACTATTCACTCCGCTTTGTGTGTATGAAACACTCCCATGTCTGCACCTTCACGGATACAGTTGGCAGCAATATGTACAGGATCAAATTACTCCCACAGGGCTAGGGTTGAACACACCAGTCCTCACCTCACCCCAAAGCCTGATATGATGAGGGAGCTCCCAGTCGTGTCCCTAGGGGCTCAGTGCACTGCCCAAAATTAGTGAGAATCAGCTGAGTTCATTCCTACTCACCCTGTACTCCCCTGGAGGTCCAGGTAGCCCCATGGGACCAGGCAGACCCTGGGAGCCTTTCTCTCCCTTCAGACAGGGGCTGCTTGGTCTGCCTGGTGGTCCGAAATCTCCTTTCTCACCCTGTCGAGACATAACACATGGATAACACAGAGCACAGGTCACAAACAACCCATCTCACCTGCCCTTTTAATGCAACCCAGCACTCAGCAAGCCCTGGGGAGCAGACCCTGGGGGCATGTGGGCTGCATCAGTATGCCTGCTGTGCCTCTGGGGAAACAGAGGTACGGAGCTGGGGGATGACTTGTGGCCATGCAGGGGCAATGGTAAGAACAGAGCCCGTGTGTTCAGGCTGCTGCTCACCCCTTGCTCCACTGGGCTCTACCAATTAGACCACGCTGCCCTTGAGAGAAAGCACCTGCTCTCATGGTGTGATGAGTACTATCTTTTGTTCAGTGGCCCATGGGTTGCCCTCTTCCCTCCCCGTGGTGGTCTTAAGCTCCCTCGGGCCAGGCCTTCCCTGTGTTGGCTCCTGGCTTGCAGGGGTCTGGGACCAGGACATGCCCTGGCTCAGTTGCGATGGGATCTTACCTTTGGCCCAGGGAATCCTGACTCTCCTGGTGGCCCTGGATTCCCTGGGGGAGGCAGAGGTCCTGGTGGGCCAGGGGGCCCTTCAATCCCTGGGATCCCTGGAAGTCCTTGTGACCCTGGGAATCCTGGAGCACCTGGGGGTCCATCAGCCCCGATGGAGCCTGGAGGCCCCACAGGCCCCTCAAGCCCAGGATTGCCTTGGAAGCCTGGTGGTCCGATGGGTCCCGGTGGTCCCGGCAGGCCTGGGGCTCCTGCTGGGCCTGGGGGCCCTGGCTGGCCTTTTTTCCCTGGGAGTCCCTCAGGGCCTTGTTCACCTTCATGCCCTGGGTAGCCTTGGGGTCCTGGGGGTCCTGGGAAGCCAGGGGCACCTGGAGGTCCTGGGGGCCCTGTCAGGCCAGGCAAACCCAGCTGCTTATTCAGCTGAGAGGAGAGAGAGGAGGTAGAGCAGAGACACTACTGAACTGACAGCACTGAACATTTCCACCCCCCAGCTCCCAGCGTCCCCACCCTTCCCACTCAGCGCACACTTGGTGCACACTGTCCCCACTGCATACTCTGTCCTCACTGCCTCCACCCTGCCATCACTACTGCTTTCACTGCCCCCACTGCATGCACTGAATCCATTTTGCCCCCCATGACAGTCACCACTGCAACTGTGCTGCCCCTGCTCTCTAACCCGCAGGAATGGCCCTGAACCACAAGCCCACTGGGGTCCTGCAGCCAGTGCTTGCCAGGCTCTTGCCCTCCCAGGGGAACTCTGGTCTCTTCCTGTCTCTGGCCCCTGGTTCCTTTAATTTCTTCCTCAAGAAGGAAGTGGCCAAGCCCAGCTCTGCAGGCAGAAAACATGAGCTGGAAGCCCTGGGATGCTCTCTGTGGGGCTCCCTTGCTGCCCGCCAGCTCTCACCTCATTCTCAGATATGACCAGTCCTTGCGTGACTCCTGTCAATCCAGGCACGCCTGGGGGCCCAGGAAGGCCTGGGGGTCCGGGGGGACCTGGGGGTCCTTGGGAACCCCGTTGACCTGGGTTCCCCACTTGGCCTCTCTCTCCAGAAAATCCAGGCAAACCTCTTGCTCCTGGAGATCCCTGGTCGCCTTTGTCTCCCTGTTGGGATAAAGAAACAACATGGCTCAAAGGGCCCTGGGGTGTGTTTGCTGCCTTCTCTGCTCTGTGCCAGCCCCTCACTAAAGTGCCAGCTGCATGGCACCACTGCCCCATGCCAGCTTTTCAAGGCCTTGGCCATGGGGCCACCATTTTGGACCAGGGAAGTATCAGCAAATGTTGATTTGTTATCAAGCCTCAGTCTCCCAGAACCGCTGGGGGGTTACGATTTAGGGGAAGGAGGAAACTGCTTTATCGATAGCTGAACCCACTTGGGTTCTAGGTCCAGGACAGAACTGGAGTAGGTGCACACCGGGCTCAGACAACAGTTTCCAAGATGGCCCTAGGCCCAAGGACAATATGTCTGTGCAATGCACAGACACAGCACGTCTCTGTTGCTCTCTAATGCCCAGGCCATATCAGAGGGTTGGGAGCCTGTTACTGCCTTGCATGGGGTGTCTGCTCACACAGTATCTACTCATGCTTTCTGTTCCCAAAGGTGTGTTTGATCCCTCTGGAGTTCATGGGGAAGGAATCCCATTGGCCGCACAGGAGATCTTGCAGGACTCCCTAAGAGTGATGGGAATGATTGGATTTTACTTTAAATCTCCCTTAAAAAAGTGAAACCTTCTGTCCAGGGAGGAAAACAGTTTGTGAGTCTCAGAAACCTGCCAAGGCTTTTCAAAGCACAGCTCTAGGGGGTTACACAGTCCCACTCATGCCAGGGCCTCCCCAACTCTGCTGTGCCTGGAGCTGCCCTGGGTGGATGAAAGCCATTGTAATCATCACTGTTACCTGCTAAAGGGGACCTACCTTTGGGCCAGGAGGGCCTGGGACAGCCGGGCACACACATTGCGAGTGGTTGCTTATCTAGGGGACAGAACCAAGTGTCAGTGATGCGGCCACTGATGGGTAATAAGCAGCATGCAGTGCCAGCTCAGCCCCCCACCTGAGAGACCTGAGGGAGAGAGTCTGGAAGGGTTGGGTGTCAGGAAGCAGGAGACCAGAGAGAGGGCTGGGGCTGGGATGGAAATCCACCAGGCCCTGCAGTCTGCTGCTGCAGCCTCTGCCTCCCTTTACTCCAGTGGCTTCCTCCCTGCAGCAGCCCCAGTGTTAGGAGGGGGTTGCCCTCCTGCCAGCGGGGTCTGCCCTGGCTGGGCTCTGAGAGAGTGCAGAGGTCAGTAGCTTTGGAGCTGACTGAGAACAGATAAGGAGAGGGTTGCCCTTGAATGCTATGTGCACCCGTGTCAGCTCCTTACTGCCCTCTGCTATGCAGCCCCCCCTGCTTGGGCCATGGCAGTCTGCATCTGAGTCAGCACCCTGACAGGCAGAGATACCCCTTCCCCCAGCAAACAACCTCCTGCTCAGCCCCAAGACAGGCCAGGACACCCCTGCCTCCATATGCACCTGGCAAGTTGTAGTAGCCTTCAGAGGGGTGGGCTTTGGCCCTCTTATTACCTGTGAGAAAGACAGAGAGAGACTGAGCACCAACCCATCTACACAGCCTTCTTTCTGCTCCCACCAGGGCCCCAGGCAGCAGGGAGCACTGCTGGAAAAGATGCCATAATCAGGGCAAAACCTGCCCCCTTGGAATGTGAGTCCACCAGCTCAAATCCACCTGCTACGGTCAGGCCTAGGGGTGGAGGACTGATGCCTGGTGACTGTGGACATACGAAGTCTCCAGCCTATACACAAAGTCTCCAGCCTTTCTCTCTTCCCTTCTGGAGCTGTGTGTTCCTTGGTCTTGGGGCATGCTCCTCAGTTTACTCACTTTAGCAGTGGCACTGGAAGGCTTCCGAGCTGCTGTCATTTCTGTGGTTGTCTAGGAAGGTGAAGAGAGGGGAATTATTGGCTGCCAGGAGCGTGGCAGGGTTTGACAGGTGGGTGAGAGCCAGGGCCTGGCACAGAGCACCAAGGAGCCCTGGGATATTGTGGGGAGCTTGTCTAATTCAGATGCTCACAGCAGTGGCAGAGCTGGGGCAGTAAGAGATGTGGGAGGGTGGATAGAGCCTGAATGCTCCTCCTGCAGCTTGGAGAACCATGTATAGGTAGAGATGATGATGGATAACCAGCCCCCCTCTGCTTTTGGCTGCCCTGTGGCACCAGGCACCTCCACTGCTACCTTGATCTGCAGAAACTCCTCCTCCTCAGCACTCCCTTCGAAGGTTCCTAGGGAGGCGGTGGTTTGTGAAGATGGTTTCCCCTTGGCTGACGCTGGAGGCTTCTATAATAGACAGGGGTGGTGGATGGAGAATGCAGGGCATGCAGCAAAGAGGACTCCAGGCTCCATTCACCCACCCTCCACTCACTCACCCACAGGGGACACTGCTGCCCTGGTGAGTGTGGTTGCAGGTTCAGGCCTGCTGGGGGTCCAACGTGCCCATTCTACCTGGGGCAGTGCAGGCCATGCTCCTAGATGGGGCGAGCCACACCACTCTGGGTTTTCCATTCAGAGGGAGCAACGTGACTAGACTCTGCAGAGCCTCTGAGCCCAGCTCCCCACGGGGTCTGTATTGTCACATATACCAAGGCCCTTCTGGTTGGACTTGGCGCCTTCCTGCCACAAGGTCCTTGGGACAGACTCTGCAGCAGGGAGGGACTGGAGGGGAAGGGAGTTTCCAGAGGATCTAGTCCAAAAGCCAGAAAAGCAGCAGCAAAAATTCATTTAATCAGGAAAACAGCTGAACTGATGAGCGTTGGACTGTAACAGGATTGGGCGGGGGGAGGGAAGAGTGGGGTCGGATAAGAAGGAGAGAGCCAGGGACTTGGAGCTCTCCCCATGCAGCCTATTGTGTCTGGTGCCACTGGGCCAGGGGGAAGAGATAAGGACGAAGGACAAGGGCATAGGAAACTGATTGAAGGGAAGATGCTTCAGAGGCCTGAAGTCAATAAAAGCAGCATTGGCTTGGTAGACAAGTTGGCTTGGCAGAATGCAGTTGGAGGGGTGACTTGAGGAAACGGCCTGGGGACTCAGTCCCATAGCCACTGCCTCCCTGTCCTGCCCTTCAGCATCACACTGGCCCACCTGCAGGAGGGATGGGACACAGTCCTAGCCTAGCTTAGCTTTGCCAGGTGTTGGGTCTGGTCTGGTCTGAGCTGCCTGGGATACATACACAGCAGCCAAGCTAAGCTTCCTTCCTCGGGATGGCAGGCCAAACTCTCATGCCTCAGGCCAACCTCCCATGCCTCCTATGCCCAGCCATACACCCCGTGCCACCCCACATCTATTCATATACAATCACACACCAATAAATGCACCCAACCATGTTTCCCCAGCCCCATCCATAAACCTCTTTGCTTGTACACCCCCACATTATACATATACCTGGATATCCACATGCACATACAGGTACCGGCACACAAACCCAACTGCACATGTGTGTATCCTTTATAGACACCCACCTATGCCCTCCTTAACTGACTCAATCCTGTTCCCATCCCTACATCCTGCTGCATTTCCCCCCTGCACATTGCACATGGTCCCCCCACCACATACACATAATAATGAACCTTCTCCCTTGCCCTCTCACATATTCTTCCCACCACACCTGACAGGCACAGACACTGCACAAACACACTCGCCTTCCATGAGTTCAGATCTATGACCTGCTGTTGCCACAGCTCAATGCATGCACTTGCAATGACTATTACACATGCACCCCCCCATTCCCCCAAGCATGTCTGACACACATTTTCCTTTTAAGGAACACACAGTCACCCAGACCCATGGACACCCACCCACATGCATAAACACACAAGTGTGTGTGCACATGCACACACTCAAGCACACACACACTCCTTACTCAGTGGCTGCCCCTGACCAAAGCACCTGGTTGTGTGTTTTTGGGCAGACACGCATCTTACCCACCTTGGTGGCTTGTGCCCTTCTCCTTGGGGTCACCAGCGGGGGTTTGCTTAGCAGGATTTTCTTTGTTGGCTCTGCATCACCAGCAGCCCAGCCTGAAAGAGCAAAGAGAGGATTGGGTTGAGGATCTGTGGCATGGCTTCCCACACCAGGTAGCCCACCTTTGTAGAGACCCCAGAGATCTGTGTCTGTCCTGTCAGTCACCCCTTTGGCTATGGGGCCTGATTCTCTGGCAGCACTGCTCAGCCTAAATCTGCATCTTTCACCTTAGGCAGGTAGGAGCACGATGGTTAGAGCAGCAGGCAGGGGTCAAGACTCCTGGGTTCTGTGATGACTGTGCTGCTACCCCCTTGGAGTGGACCACATCAGTTCCTGGGCAGCTGTGCCCCACAGCAGCTCAGGGCAAGGGAAGAATCCCACATTGAGTCAAAATGCGCAGCAGTCCTTGCAGCTGGAGTTTCACCAGGACACAAGGGTTCTCATCTGGAGCCACTAATGGCCACAAGGGTTCCAGATACAGTAGGCAAAAGCTGGTGCCCCCACAGCCCACTGTCCCTTAGGAACACCCTAGGGCACTGGGCTCAGTACTGACCGTGAGGGGAGACACTTGCCCTCCCACCAGAGCAATATAGTGGATCTGTACCTGTTTACATCAGCTGAGCCCTGGGTTCTTGCCTGTCTGATGCATGGGGGACAGAGGGGCAGACCTGTTTCCTTAGGACCAGTGATCATCTCAGTGCTCCTAGGAGGGAGCAGCCTTGGAAACCCTGCTTTGTCCCAGGGGCAGGGCAGGTCCATGGGACGGAGTCCCACTTGGGGACACCCCTCACCATGCTTTTGTAGTGATCTTAGCACCTGTGTGTGTTGCCCAGATTGTGTCCAGCCTGTCCAGTGGCAGGGGGCAGAGGGTGGGGTGGTGGGAACGGATGGATGGATGGACAGATGGGGATGACCAGTCCTAGCAGAACTGAAGGACCAAGGCATTGGGTGTATGCTATATGGCTTCAGGATAGAGCTATATAGCAGGACAAGGTCCCTGCTCCCATCCAGATGGAGTCTTCCAGGGATCCACCAGAGAATCAAAGTCTGAGTTTTCCCACTGCCTCCCTGCCCATCTTTGCTCCTATGCCTTGGAGCCAAGCTTGTTTAAGCGTGTGCTTCATGAATTGCTAAGAGAACCAAGAACAGCCTGGCTCCCGGGATGCGCAGCCTCCTCAGCATCCCAGGCACACTCTGGCACACAGGTATCAGGGGCAGCTGCTAATTTGCCTGGTAATACAGAGGACCTGGTATTGGCAGCTGCTGTCCACGGTGCCTGCTGTCCACGGAGCACGCCTGGGAAGTGAAGAGGAGCTATGAGGCATTCAGCACCTTGGAAATCAGGTCCCAGAACATCTCTAGGTGGGTCCTCAGAATCACTACCCACTGTGCAAAATGCCTGCTTGAGGGAGCAAGCAAGCCTCAGCCTCAGCCAGTCGTGGCGAAACTGAGGCACAGAGAGGAGAAAAGACCCATCCAGGGTCACAGGATCAGTGGCAGAGCTGAGAAAAGAAACTAGAAATTGTGGCTCCTACTCCCACTGTTCTAACCATTGGACCCCACTCTCCTTCCAGAACCAGGACTAGAACCCAAGCAGCCTGGCTTCCCACTCCTGCTTTTGTCATCAGACCCTGCTCCCTCTGCATGTCACCCTTATGCATGTTGGCAGGGGTGGCTAGGTTCCTGGGCTGTCATCCTCTATCTGCTCAGTCGCACCAACCCCAGAGATGCATCCTTCCTCTCCCCATGCCCCACAGCACAGCTCAGGCAAGGCCCCAGAGGCACCTACCTTCCCTCTCCTCTGTGGGGTGCTGTGTGGGGGTCAATGGGTTGGTGGTCGTCTTTTCATCAGAGCCCAGGGAGAACCACTGGGCTGTGCCGGGAGGCACGCTTGTTCCCATGAACAGCAGGATGCAAAGGCAGCGGAGAAGAAAGGGGCAGCTGCCTTTGGGGACCACCATGGCGCTCTGCTACAGATAGGCTGCCTTTGGTGCCAAGTGGCTGCCCAGCTGGCTCAGGTCACAGTCCCCTGCACTCCCGCTCTGTCTGCCTTGCAGGGCAGAAATGTGCCGCTGTCCACAGACACGGCTGCTCAGAGCTAACCTTTGGCACCTGGCCCTGAGTTGTTATCATGGCCCGTCCTCCACTCCGCTTTGACACGCCCCTGTCTCCTGTCTCCAGCTTGGCATCAACACTTTCCTGAGGGCCTGATTCAGCAGGGTGCTGAGCACCTGGAGGGATGGGGTTATCAGTGGAGAGATCAGTCTGTTCCCACCCCACTCAGTCCTCTGCAGAGTGGCCCCATTTGCAGGGTATAGGGGCATCCAGAGGGGTTTAACTATTTGCTCAGACACCACCAGATCACAGTGACTCCAGACCACTGGAAGCAACAAAGCTGGTTCTGGAGGACAGGGAAAAGAGCCACATAGTCTGGCTGGGCAGGTTGGACAGGAGAGATTGTAACAGAGGTGGGGCAGGAAAATACTGTGCAAGAAATGAACAGGTAAGGAGAGGGGTCTAAAAGAGTTACTTTTTTTGATGGGGAGAAAGGCCAGAAGAGCAGGAGGTGGTTGTGGGTTGGGGTTGAGGCCACTGGCAAAGCTGAGTGTGTGCAGATGGCCCAGTCTCTGCCCCAGGAACTGCAATGCTGCCATGCAGGTGAAGCACCAAGAGCTGATTTCCTGCACACCCAGATCACAGGGAGTGAGCAGCTGGTCATGGAGCTGGGTGAAGGCAAGAGAGCCCATGTGTGTGTACATGTGCACACACGCGTGTGCATGCATGTGTATATGTGTGTTTGTTGGGGGGCTGACCCTACATTCCCCATCCCAAACAGTGAAAGTCTCTGAGAGGAGGGTTGGGGGAACATTTCCTTGGGGTTGTTCAGACCTCCATCTCCTCACCCAAAAGCTCAGTTTTACAAAGCCCACAAGGTGCCCCAGTGAGCCAGGAGAGGGCCCCAGTGAACTAGGTCCACCAACCTGAGCCCTGAGCTAATACCTGCTTAAACCTAGCATGCTGCCCTCTGGGCCCAGCAAACAGGGCAGGTCTCTTGGGATGTGGGGAAGAAAGAGGCATCCAGAGTCCTGGAGAGCTCTGGTGCCTGAAGGACTTATCTGGCCTGGTCCCTATGCTCACTAAGGGCCACAGAAGGGCAAGGGGGTCATTGCATCTGCAGGGGCCAGGCTGGAGGCAGTGCGTTTGTCCCAGGAGATGAGGGGAGAGTGAATAGGGCAGATGGCTGCAGGGGAAGGAGAGGGCCCCACAGTAGACCCCTCAGTTCTTCCTGAGCAGGGCGTGGGGGGATAGATGCCTTTTTTGTGAGTTCAGGGCCTTTTCTGTGAGCTTGGGGCAGGGCAAGTTCATCTGAGCTCTCCATGCTAGGCACTCTGGCACAAAGGGAGAACCCCTCAGTGACCAGCTCTGGGGCCTGGCTGGAGAGGTGCAGACCCAGGGCAGCATCAGGGCCCAGGGAGTTCAGGCTGAAGCAGCAAACACTGTAACCCTCCAGCCTGCACACTCTGTTCCTCTTCCAACCACGGAGACACAACAGCTGCCTTGGCCAGTGCTGCCAAGGGCTGATAAGCAGCCACATTCTCTGGCAGGAGGGGCACCTGTTTGGGTTTGGGCATCATGTCAAGGCTGGCGCCTCCAAGCCTTCACCCCATATCATAGCTACTGCACGGCCCAGTTCTGGGGCAGTGGGTGGGAGTCGGGGGAGGAGGCAAGGGCATGGCATACTGTTCCTGACAAAGTCCAGCTGGGGTTGATGAGCAATGCCAGGTGCTATGCCCTGCTCCAGGCCCTGAGCCCCTGTCTGCCCTTGGAGCCAATGGGGCCAGCAGACCAGCCAGGCACTGACTGGGCCATGGAGTGGGAGCTCCCATATGTCCCAGTGCAGGCTGCTCAGGGTGGGGATGGGGCGTTGCCTGGGCTTTGCCTGTTCCTACAACTCTTTCTTTGCCAAGGTCAAAGCCCACTGGGAGGTAAGAGCAGCCTCCCAGCGGCAGTGTAGGGAGAGGGCCATGCCCTGTCCTGGGAGTGAGCCCTTTCCTTCAGCCACTAGGAGTATAGTCTGGAGCTAAAAGGTGAAGCCAGGCAGCTGCTGTGATTTAGGAAGATGGGGCACAGCCAGGATATTGTGGTGGTGTTTTGCCCAGCACTGAAATGCAGCCATATCTGGGGTGGAACACAGCAGCTGGTGATCAGCCACATGCATTGCCACAACATTTAGCACAAGGAGTGGGGCAGCATCTTGGGCTCAGGCTCAGTCTCCCATGGGGTATAGGCTGGAAAGCGTGCAAGGGCAAGAAACTTTAACGAGTAACTTAAAAATAGCTTCACTTGTTCTGACACTGGCACAGCTTAGGGATGAGCTGTCCCCTCACCCTGTCCCTGTCTCCTCACCAGGCCACAATTTCCCATTCAAATTGCTTGGGGGTGGTGAGCTCCGCAGAACAGAACCTCATGGTCCTGGTGAGACCCAGGGGCTGGGCAATGGGGCTGGCTCTGCCCCACTCCACAAGAGCAGCTGGGAGGTGGGAGGATAAGCTGAAAGCTGCTGGTACTTACTGGCTATTTAGGAAACTCGGGAGCAAGATGGGAGGGTTTGCAAGGGCAGCCTTGTGCCTCTCATGACCCAGGCTGCTGCAGGCTCCTGAGGTTTCTGCATTCCACCCTGCAGCTCAGTGGCATCTCAGGTCCCCATTGTGCCCCACTCAGAGAAAACCAAGGTGCCACATGCCAGAGTCTGGGCACTCCATGCCCCTGGAAATAGAGCTGCCCCCCACCCCCATGTGCTCCCCTCAGGTGGCTGGCACAAGCTGCCCCTAGGAGCTGGGGAAACTGAGGCACAGGGGCTATGGGTATGCTCCCCTCCTGTTCCCCTGGGGCCTTCAAAATAGACAGGAAATGAAGCAGAGAACAGGGGGTACTTCCCAGAACAGAGCCCTGGTGTGCCCCACCCCAGCACAGCCCACAGCCACGGGCCCTAGGATAGCCACGGCAGCACCATGGGGTTGCACCAGCAGAGGATTTGGCCCTGTCTGTTTCCTAACTCTGTTCAGTTGCCACCAGCCTTTAATGCTGCCCCATGTGCCAGGTGCCCCGTAGGGGCAAGGACCTCACCTCAGGGATACAGCACGGCTGCAAAGGCAGCTTGCAGCAGGAAGGGCTCAGGGCAGGTGCTGGGATGCTGTGGGGGCTGACAAGCCTTCCTGGAGCAGAAGGGAGCCCCCCAATGCAGCATTGCTTCAGGCAGGTGCCCAGGCCAGCTCCCATGATGCATTTCTCAGTAGCGAGGAGAAGCAGCAGTGATGACTGATTTGACAGCAGCTTCCAGGCTGACCTGGCTGGGGATTCCCCCCGGAGCTTCCTGGGCTGCCTCCTGATTGGCTGGAAGAGAACTTCCATGTCAGAGCAGGACTCTGCAAAACTTCCAGCAGGTCGTGGCCAGCATGGCACTAGCCCGAGGGGATCCCCTGGGCATGCCCCCCTTCTCCTCTCTTCCCCCGTGGCAGCTCTGAACCAATGGGAGAAGAGGCTGCTGCAAATAAATCCCCACGTGGAGCAGCGCTGGGCAGACCGTGGGTCTACACAGGCACTTTGCAGCACCATGGGGATCCTGCTGAGCCGGGTTCAGGAGATGCTGAGCAACTTCTACGGGATGCAGGCTCGCATCCTCCTGCTGGGGCTAGACAACGCCGGCAAAACAACCATCATCTACCGGCTGAAGCTGAACGAGACAGTCACCACCATCCCCACCCTGGGCTTCAACGTGGAGACAGTGGAGCCCATCAGGAATGTGACCTTCACCCTGTGGGATGTGGGAGGCCAAGTCCGGATCAGGGCCCTGTGGAGGCACTACCAGTCCAACACAGATGGCTTGGTGTTTGTGGTGGACAGTGCTGACCCTGAGCGCTTTGAGGAGGCTGGAGCTGAGCTGGAAGCCATGCTGGGGGCTGATCTGATGCAGGGGGTGCCCTTGGTGCTGTTGGCGAACAAGCAGGACCTGCCTGGAGCCCGGCCCATAACAGACATAGTGGAAGCGCTGGGCCTGAGGAAGCTGCAAGGCCACAAGTGGCACGTACAGGGTTGCTGCGCCGTGAGTGGACAGGGGCTGCCCGAGGCGCTGGAGAAGCTGGCAGAGATGGTGAAGCAGAAGCAGAAGGCCAGGGGGCTATAAGGCAGGCTCCTCTGCACCACTCGGGGACTATGGCAAACGCTTGCCAACCAGCAGAAATCCCCTGACTCGGTCAGTAAACTCTGGGGAATGGGACAGGGACATGCAGACTCCTGGAGATCCCTGGGCTTCTCTGCCTGCCTATTAAGGACCTTGTGAGGCAGTAGTTCCCCCAACCTGCTGCTTCCTCACTGTGTTTGCCTTGGGAGCATCCCAGCCAACCTGAGACGGACTGCTGCTGGGAGGCCCTTTCAGAGATATGGATCACCTGGGGACCTGCTGGGATTGGATTCTTTCTGTATCATGCATAGGGCTGTGGTAATGAGTATTAAACAAGTGGTTATTAACTGTCTCTGGGCTTGTTTTCCTTTGAAGGCATCTGGGTGTCTTGGCCTGGCTCCAGGCTGTGGTTGCTCTGGCATCCTCACAGGGGAAGGGGGCTGTTTTTTGGTGGGGTCTGGCTCTTGGCACATTTAGGCAGTGTTGAAGTGCCAACCTGAAATCTTGGGCCTGTGAAAAGTTCACCAAGTGCTCTGGGATGCTGGGGGTGACAGTTGCTACCGAAACCGAAGCACCTGTTGGTGTAACAGCTGTGTAGTCAGTGCAGCCGGTTTCACCCTGCTGGAGTGACAGCCCTGGGGCAAGTGGCCCAGTGTACTGCTATGAGCTGTGTTGGAGGAGAAGTATGATGGGACATCCATTTAAGGAACCACCCCTGTTCTCTGCTTCATTTCCCAAGCCCATTTCAGACTCCTGGCCCATTTGTATTTCCTAGATGCAGGGCAGGGAGGGAGTGTATCGTTGGCTATCAGCCCAATGAAACAGGGGCAAAGGCGCTGATTCACAGCAGGAGACAAGTCACTCATTGCCCCCCTGTGCCTCAGTTTCCCCAGCTCTAAAGAACAGCCTGTACTGCTCTCCTGGGGGGAGCAGGGGGGCAGCAGCACCACGTGTTCCAAGGGGACCCGGGTGCCCACACAGACACATGGCACCTTGGCTCTCTCTGAACAGGGTGAGCATTTTTGCTGAGTTGCAGCACAGAATAAATGAACTCCAGCAGCCTGCAGCAGCCAGGCCCATGAGGAGTGCAGTGTCCCTTGCAAACCCTCCTGCTTCCCTCTGGAGTTTCTTAAATAGCCACTAGGTGCCGGCAGCTTTCAACTTATCATCCTACCTCCTGAATTCCCTTGTGCAGAGAAGGGCAGAGCCAGCCCCATGCCTGGGGTGGAGGCAGGAGGGCTATGCTGCTCAGTGGGCAGAGCCAGTGAGGTAGCTCACAGCAGGAGGTGAGCCCAGGCTAGTCCCTTGGAGCTGCTGTGGAGTTGCTTCTGACCCTTTCCTCCCTTGGAAGCCATGGTCCCTACAAGTCCCAGGCTCAGATCTTTCCAGCACCATGTGCCCTGGTCCATGCTCTAAACTAGTGTCAGGATTTTGACAGGAGACACCCAGGACAGCCTGGCCCTGCAGGGGGTGGGTTTGTTGTGGGAGCTATGGCTCCCTGCTTTGTGCTGACCTCCAGTCCCTGCCACTGTGAATTTTCTGTGCCCAGGCCTGTCCAAACCCTGGAGAAGGCCACTCCCTGCTGCAGGAACACTATTCCACAGGTGGCAGGGCATGGGGGGTGGGGGCACTGTGCCTCTGGAAGGGCACCTTTGGGATCAGACACAAGGCCCTGGACAGTAGAGAACATTACAAGTGTTTGTAGATTTGGGCTGCTGGCTCCAGCATCTGAGCCGAATCCCAGCTGGACGCAGTTGAATCCCGTGCGATCCAAGCACCTTCATCTCCCATCCCAACCTGTTGTACAGCCCCTGGATCTCAATGACAGCCCTTCTCTTCCCTTTGGGAAGTGGTTGAAAGGCCTCTCTACTCTGCCCCCATACAGCAGCACAACAGGCTTCTTGTGAGCCCAGGGGTTAGGGCAACTTTGCCCTTGCCTCCTGCCATCTGGCTGTACCCTCTCTGCCTTCCCAAGACTTGAAGTGTCCCATGCACCAGGCAAACAGCAGCTTACACTACTACTTTTCAGTTTCTCTTGGGCACTTACCCGGTGCTGGCCTGACATGTTTGGGGGGCTCCAGGCTGGTAGAGCAGGGGCAGTGGAAGGGTCTGTGGATGTGGACCCTGGGGGGGGCACTCACTTTGCTTTTCCTTTATGCTCATACTGCTTGATGCTTTTCTGTGGAGAAAGCCATGCAGTTCATCTTCTTGCCAGAGGGGACATTAGCAATGCAGTATCTGGGGATATCAGTAGTGTAACATGTACACCAATTCCAGAACAGAGGTGGTTACAAAGAGCATGCAGGAAATCTCTTTTTCCAGGAATTTCAGCCCAAGACCAACAGCAGAATAACTGTTCCTCCAGAATGGACTCTTATTGGAGAGATGATGGCAGACATCAAATACGCCCATTGCTTGCAACAGCTTCTCCACAAAGAATCTACAACAGCCAAACTATTGTGCCTTTCTGCAGAGGCTCAGAACTTGCCCACACACTAAGGAGAAGGGCTTGTATAGCTCTTGGAATCACTTGAATACACAGGCACAAAGACTGTCTGCTCAAGATAGACCTGGCTAGACTTGGTTGGGATGGTGCATTTCTGGGAGCAGCAGCTTTAAGCATGTTGTCTCCATGCAAACCCATGAGAGGGAATGTTCCTGGGTCCAAGTCTGAAGGAGTAGAGGTAGGGAGAGCAGTATGCATTGGTGGAAAATCATCCCGAGCCATAGAGTGACTCCTGAGAGAGTAACCATCACTCTCAGAACTGCTGGCCTGTGTGTCATGAGCCCTATATTGTTGTCAGTTAGGTAGGAGGCTCTTTCAGCTCCAGTCTGGAACAGGAGGACAAGAGTTTGAAGTGACCCTCCACATTGCTATAGGGCCGTGGTTCTCAGCTTTCTTAGACTTGAGGCGCCCCTTGATAGATTGAAAAAAAAATGCCAACTCTTATTTTCACTCTTTTTTGACTACAGAAAAATAATAAAGCAATTCTTTTGTTGACAAGAGCTCAGAAAGCCCACAACAGATCAGAATGGTTTTAACACTACAGATTCCTGTGTGAAAACTCTGGGTTTATCTTGTGACTCATGTTTGCATACCTTATGTGCTAACATTGTGTGGCACTCCTGAATGGGTCTCAAGGCACCCTGATTGAGAATCACTGCTGTAAGGGGCAGCCCGCCAATCTGCTGTGCTCAAGAGCCACTAACTCTACCTCCTCAAGCCCTCCCTCTCAAGGGCTTCTCCTTGGGGCTCTTGCAAGCACTTTGAGCCCCTGTCAAACAGCAGGATGTCATGACGTGGCAGGTCCCAGTGTGGCCTGGCTTCACCCCAGCAAGATGTGTGACTGCCACAGGAGTGGCCAGCAGAAGAGGCACCATGGAGTGGTACATTGCCCAGCCTCAAATGGTGCCATGAAGGGGGTGAGAAGCAGGGGACCATCCTGGCAGATTTGGGGCATCAGAACCAGTCCAAGGGGGAGGTGGCAGATACATGTCTTGGGTGTCTATTTGAGAAGCACAGCTATCTATCTATCTATCTATCTATCTATCTATCTATCTATCTGTGTGTCTGTGTGTCTGTCCCCTAGTACTTATATAGTAGCAATCATTGGGACTAGGCATTGCACCTGGACCCCTGTGTTAGATGCTTGGCCCTACAGCCTCATATCTGCTGCCCCTCTCTCCCCATTCTGTGGTGGAGCAGAGCTGGCAGCACTAGGAGGCGCTGTCTGATAAATACTGGGGCTCTGTAAAAATATAACCTGGCAGCTCATCTCTGGCAAAATTCCAGCCCCCGTGCCAACCAGCTCAACACCAGCAGCTCAAGTGCACACAAGGTCCTGCAGGCCCTCTAATGAGACCCTTTGCTCTGATTGATGGAAGCTTGCCTGGTTTCCCAGAAAGCATGCGAACTTACCTGCCATGCCTGAGCTGATGCTGGGAAGGACCAGGGGGACTAGGGCAGGCAGAGCCAAAATGTTCCCTGCCCCTCATGGACTGCCTGAAATCAAAACCAGGAGCCCTTTTCCAGCCCAGGCACTGGATGCCAACACCCACCTGTGGGTCAGATGTGGGGTTCCTTGCACCTGCTGGAGGGTCAGGCTGGGGGGCTGGGTATGTAGGAGGAAGTGACGGGGGCCCTGGGAGCAAGGCTGGGTGGGGATTTGCCCTGGAATTGAATCCTGATGCCAGCCACAAGCAATGCAACACTGGTTGCAGATCTGATTTCTGCTCACTTCAGTCATTTTAATAAAAACCAGGACCTGATTCAGCCCAACTGGCAGCCCCTGCTCCATGCAATCCTGGATGAGGGCTGCTGGGTAGAATGAGGCTCTCAGTCAGGGGTGAGCAGAATGAGCAGAGCCTGGAGAGGAGCTGAGAGCAGGGGGCTGCAGGGTGGAGTTGAGGGGCACTGGAGGAGGAGTCCTGGGCTGGGATAGCAGTGGGCTGTAGCTCAGAACTGAGGGGCACTGAGAGCAGGGGGGAAGCCCAGCACTGTGCCAGCATAGTGCTGCTGGTCGGGGTAGAGGGGCACCAGCAGTCATGTTGGGGTATGCTGAGTCAGGCTAGCAGAAAACAGCAGGGCAGGACTGCGGCCTGTGTTCTCCTTCAGGATCCCAGTCTGGTTCCCAGAGCCTCCATCGTGGGCTCAGCCCAGACCCCTGTTGCCACTACTTCGGAGTCTGTGCTTTCTAGCTTGGGGCAAATAAGTTCTGCCTTCTCCTGAAGGCAGAGCTGGGCTGCGAGTGACAGCTCCCGCTTGCTGTGCTCTGAGCAGTAGGAGAGAGAGGGAGGTGTGGCTAGAGGCCAGTATAAAGTCCAAAGAATCTCAGCTCCCACAGGCAGCTTGGAGTCCCCCTGCTCTGGACGGCCGCACCGCTTCGTCTGGCCTGAGAACACGCTGCAAAGCCCTCTCTGCTCTACACACTGCCCACCCTGGGGGTCCTGGCCATCCCCAGCTGCTCTGCTTGGTAACCGAGCCAAGGAGGCTGCTGCATTTGCTGGTCTGCTGCCTCTCTCTCCTTTGGCTGGCCCATTATTCACTGTAGCGCCCAGTCCATACGCCTGCCTGCCATGCCCATGGGCAGCCTCTCTGCTGTGCTGTTGCTGGCCACAATGGGCCTGTGTGTCAGCGATGAAGCCATCCACTGCCCACCCTGCTCGGAGGAGAAGCTGGCTCGCTGCAAGGCACCAGTGGGGTGTGAGGAGCTGGTGCGGGAGCCTGGCTGTGGGTGCTGTGCCACCTGTGCCCTGAGCAAAGGGACGCCCTGTGGGGTTTACACTGCCCGCTGTGGCTCGGGGCTCCGCTGCTACCCACCCCGGGGGGTCGAGAGACCCCTGCACACGCTGATGCATGGGCAGGGGATCTGTACAGAATTGTCCGAGATCGAGTCCATCCAAGAGAGCCTGCAGCCTCCAGGTAAGGGGACAGCTCCAGCTTGCCCTCCTGCAGGGCCCTAGGTTCACAGTACAGATGGGGAGGGGTTCCCTCGGCTCCTTCTGGGGTCGGGAACAATTGCTGCTGAGCCCAAGCATGGCAGGCCCTGGTGGGGATGTGGGAGAGGGGCAGGCACAGGGTTTGCATGGCTGGGGGGAGGGACATGTGGCTGCTAGGTGCAAAGGCACCTGCATCGAGCAGTGAAAACTGCTCTAGCATCTTGCTACAGGCGTTGCTGTTGGGGCAGAGGCAGGCTGTGTGGACGGTGAGCTCGCCAGGGGCATCTGTACCCACTGCCAGTCCCTTTACATGCACAGGCACAGAGGTGCCTCCTCTCAACCTGACAGGAGCAAGGAAGGTCTCTGGAAGTAAAGTGCAGAAAATGGGGGTCTTGCTGGTCCAGAGGGCACCTGTAGGACCCTGCAAGGAGCAGGGTGCCTCCCCAGGTGAGAAGTAACCCTCCCCCCAGACCTTGGCCTGAGAGCAGGCTGAAGGGAGCAAAGAATTAACAGGCCTTGAGCATCTCATCCTTCAAGCTCCAGAGGCAGAGGGCCCCACATGTTGATACAAGGGTTTGCTTCTTGTCCTCATGGACACAGACTGGGCTGTGGGGGGAGGCCAGGGCTCACTGTATGGTAGTCCCATGTGCCTGCAGTTGTACTGCCACCCCAGGGATGGGGGTGCTCCAGGCAGGGGGCAGCCCTTGGCTCTGTGATCTTTCCTGCAGAGTGTGCCTTACTTCATCAGGCCCTGGTCACCCTCCACCAGCTCCCCCACAGGCCATGCTTGGGTTGGGGATGATGTCCTGCAGGTGGCTGAGCCTCCCTTTCCTGTGGCAGGGGGCAGATCCTCTTACAAAAGGTGCCCTCCAAGCAGGGGCATAGAGGGAACCATCTGACCCTTTGGGACTATATTAACACTGTGGGGGCTGTGCTGCCTATGCCTGTTTCTTGGGTATTCATTCGCAGAGCAGACTGGAATGACCAGTGTGGAAGGGGCTAAAGAGCTGAATAGCCCAGGGTCAGGTGAACTGATGCTCAGTCATTTCCAAGTGCTCACTTCTCCAGTGCCAGGATGTCCCTTGCACCTCCCATGACAGCCCTCCCCCCCTCCCAACTTATGCACCTCTTCCTGGGGATACTGCAGGCCTGTTGACTCTATAGTGTATAAGGAAGCAGAAGAAAGGCCACTAAACACAGATCCCTGCTCTAGGAACTGAGTCTGAGCTCAGCTTTGGGCTTAGCATCAGAGGCAGGTCTCTGAGAAAGCTGTGCCACCTTTTCCCATCCTGTCCCTACTCTGCTGAGCCCTGGGAGAGGCAGAAGTACCACTTTTGCTCCTGGGTGAGTGGGACCAGCAGCACAGCAGGGACAGCAAGCGAAATAGGAATGCTAGGCTTCCCCAGAGCAGCCGGCTCTTGCTCGGCCTCCTAGAACCCATCTGTCCAGCTACTCCATTGCTGCCTGCATGACCTGAAGCTCTGGATGCCCTGCCCTCCCTCCTGATAAAGCTAATTCAATTCCTTCCCCAAAGGGCTATCTGCTCCCTTCACTTTGCTCCTGGGAGACCTGCGGGGGGCCAAGTGCTGAGCTGGAGGTGGAAGCAGTCCCCGGTTGGCAGCTTCAGTGATGGGCATGAATCAGAGCCTATGGGGGGAGGGCTGATAGGGGAGACCTTGGACTTGGATCTCAGACCCAGATTTGGATTGCACTGCTGCCCCATCCCTGGATCTGAACACCTGCACACCAGCCCAATGCACTGTGACCTCCAGCAGCATCAGGCCCTGTAGGTCCCCTGGGCAGCCTTTGCAGACCCACTCTGACTTTTGCTTCTGATCCCCCTGGCATGTAGAGTGACTGCTAAGCTGAGTATATGGAGGTGAGGAACAGCCCCTCCTGAGCTGAGAACCACTGCCCCTCCTCTTTGCTCTGTGTGATCATCACACACAGCTGCCTGGGTGTGATCCATTGCAGGCAGAGGAGGGCAGGACCCCTGTGCACCTTTGCATCCTGCCTGTGTGCATTGCTTTAGGCACTGTGCCTGAGGCTCCCGGCCTCCCCTGGCTGCCTTTGCCTTTGTGGTTCTGTGGGTTGCTCTAATGAGATCATGGAGGATGCTACCCTGCCGGACAGAGGAGGTGCCAACACAAAAATGTCTTTCCTTTACCCGCCCCCACCCTGCCACCCATGGGAAGCTGGCATCAGGCTATCCAAGCTGTAAGAGGCTGGGACACTGCTGAAGTCCATGAGGGAGAGGCCAGGATTGGGGAGAGCTGCTGAAAACCAGTCCAAGATTCCCTTGAGAAAAGGGCTTCTAAGCAAAGCCAGCATGAAAGGGAAAGGAACAGCTAGGGAAGTAAGTACAAGAGCAGCCTGCAGCCCACAGCCCAGGCTGCAGCCCTCACAGGAGTGGCAGGGCTGTTCCCACAGCTGATGTTTCCCAGCCCTGTTTTCTGGAGACCCCCAGGGAACAGGAGCCCTGCTGTGCCTGGAGTGTCCTGCATTCTGCAGCTGGTGTCCCTGCCCCAGGGCAAGTTACAGGCTGAACTAATGGAAGCCATGGGCTCCTGGGGTTGGAAGGGGCCTCACAGGGTGCATACGCCAACCCTCTGCATTGGGGCAGCAGACAAGCCACTCTAAAGGCCAGGTCCCATTGAGATCCTGATCCTGTGGCTTAAGCACATCCCTAGTACCAGATATTTTTGACTGGTGGGGTGCTCCCAGCCTTGCCTAGCCTAGGCCAGTGTTTGCTCAGAGATGTTGTTGGAGAGGAGACAAGATTTGGGTATTGCAGGGTGTAGGATGGGGCAGGTCTTGTAGTTGCTGGGGTCTTGGGGCTGGTATGTAAATGCTCATCACACTCCTCTGGCTTGGCCATGTCCCAGTGAAGGGAATAAATGTGTCACCGATCATGGAACTGGAGTGTGAGGTTGTTTGGACTCAAGGAGCAAATCAGGAAGCGGATGAAGCTAGTCTGATGTGAGGCCACAGTGGGGCCCAGGGATTTCCAATGGGCGTCCAGGTAGCTTTAGTTTATGGGCTGATTCAAGCCCTTTGAGCCAGTACCCTCTGCCAGCCCCTTAGTGACACATTTGTGCAATGAGTTGTTTGGCCTCAGCCCAGTTCCTTGTGTATGGGTTTCCATATCACTTCCCCAGGCACTGGGATGGGGTGAACAGCCTCTCAGCACCCTGCTTTGAGCCCTAGACCATGGGGCCTGCCTTGAGCTGGCCTCTCCCTGCTACTGGGAGCATGGTGAGGAACCATCTTTGTTGCACTAAACTCCTCTGGCTTTGCCCTGGAAGAGCCTCCTGTGCCTTGGGTGAATCTCAGAAGTCCCTTCACTAAATTTTGCCTGATTGGAATCTGATCCAAAGGAAAATGCAACACGAAGAGTCGGGGGCAGAGAGAGAGGGTGCCCTGTTCCCCACCGAGCTGACTGACCCTACAGCTTTGCTTCTGGGAGATGCATGGCAGCAGGGAAGAAGGGATGGGCTGGCAGAACACATGCACACCCCAAATCCCATGCACAGCTTCTCCGTCATTAGCCAGGTGCTGCCTGCAACACTGAGGACACTTCTGTCCAGGCAGCCAATGCTACCTGTGTTTCAGATGGAAAGGGCAGGCTGAGTGCTTCACTGTGAACTGAGCTGTGCACAGCCCTGGGACTGGACTATCCAGGTGTTGTGGCCCTTCCAGCAGTCTGCCCTGTCTACCTGTTCCCCCACCACCATGGTCTGTTCTCTCTCCCAATGTGCCAGGCTTCAGCTGTGAGGCTCTAGGGATCTGTCCTTGGGTGGGAGAGGGACCAGCCCTGCATTTTGGGGCTTGTGGCAGGACAGTTAGTAGACCAGCCACAGGTTGAATCTTGTTTTGTGCATCTCTGAATGGGATCAGATCATGCAGACTATGGGTCCAAATCTGCCCCTATGCTTGCTTCAGCTCTCACACCCTGGTAATGGGCACCTGTGTAGGCACATCCATCTGCCCTTAGACCAATCACCTCCCTTCCTGGAAATCCCAGGCTTCTGGGGCAGGATATGGTGTGGCAGCTGGAAGAAAGGGCCCCTGACCTCCTGAGTGTTGAGCATGTATCCTATGTCCAGCAAAGACTCCTGTGGCTTGCTGGGCCTTGAGCAACCTCCAGCCTCCCAGAGCCTTCTGGATTTGGCCTTGCTGTAGAGAATGCAGCTTTCTCTCTAAAAGCTTTAGGGAACAGACTTGCAGGGTTCTCCCTGCACCCCCTTTATGTTCTGCTCCCTGTGTGTCATGGGCCCAATAGGCAGTATAGGCAGTATACTATACTATATAGGCAGTAGTCAGGAAGAGTCTCCTGTAATGCTTGTCTTTGAAGTGCAGGAGTGTGCATTATTTCCTCTGGGTGCTGTTTCCAGTTGCTCTGGCAATTTGATGCTTCATGACATTTCCCACCTAGGCTGGGAACCCACTGCCTTTCGCAGGGAGCTGAGCTCCAAATTCGCTTAATCCCCTTTGGAAACCCAAGCCCTTGTCCATAGCCAGCCCCTGGGACTTGGCAGGTGTCACAGCACAGCTGAGGCCTAAGGGCATGCAATGTTGCGGTGTGAACAGCAACCCCCCGCCAGCTGGTGGCACCCTGGAAGGGAAAATGGCAGGTGGGGCCCCGGAGGGCACGTCTCCATGGGGGAACTGACTGGTTCAGCTTGTAGCGGCAGAGTGAATTCACTCTAGTCAGCCAGAACAACCCCCCGGGAGGGATTGAGCCCTGAGAGATGCACTGGAGAGGAAGGAAGGACACGCCGACCTGCTGTACATGCCCTCCCAGGGTGAACATGGCTGGGAAGTAGTTAATATGTAGCTAGCAGGGTAAACACTTTGTCTGGTTTTCCAGTACTAGGAATCCTGCATTCCAGGGAACAGGCGCTTCCCGTGAAATCAGTGGCTGGGGCTGAAATCTTTTTTTTCAAAAAGGGAGTGTGTGTGTGCACTGCTCTTTACGTTGTG